GAGAGAGAGAGAGAGAGAGAGAGAGAGAGAGAGAGAGATAGAGAGAGAGAGAGAGAGAGAGAGGAGAGAGAGAGAGAGAGAGAGAGAGAGAGAGAGAGAGAGAGAGAGAGAGAGAGAGAGAAAGAGGGAAAAAGAAAGAAAAACGATTACTTTCCATTTCATTAAGTAACCATAAGTAACCAACATTCTGAAGAACATAACAAATTATAAGTAACACTTATAACAACACAAGAGAACACTTCAGATACTTACGACTGCCTTGAGATAGTGGTGATGGTCTTAAGTAGAGGAAACTAGCGGAGGAGGCAATCTACTTAAGAGTCTAAGTACATGAAAAGTGTCTTAACTGAGGAAACTTGTTTCAACCGCTAATTGTACATATGGTTGGTGGTACACTGGTTGGTGATACATGGGCTAGTGATACATGGGCTGGTGATACATGGGCTGGTGATACATGGGCTAGTGGTACATGGGCTGGTGGTACATGGGCTAGTGATACATGGGCTGGTGATACATGGGCTAGTGATACATGGGCTGGTGATACATGGGCTGGTGATACATGGGTTGGTGATACATGGGCTGGTGGTACATGGGCTTGTGATACATGGGTTGGTGATACATGGGCTGGTGATACATGGGCTAGTGGTACATGGGCTGGTGGTACATGGGCTAGTGATACATGGGCTGGTGATACATGGGCTGGTGAAACATGGGCTGGTGGTACATGGGCTTGTGATACATGGGCTTGTGATACATGGGCTGGTGATACATGGGTTGGTGATACATGGGCTGGTGATACATGGGCTAGTGGTACATGGGCTGGTGGTACATGGGCTAGTGATACATGGGCTGGTGATACATGGGCTGGTGAAACATGGGCTGGTGGTACATGGGCCGGTGGTACATGGGCTGGTGGTACATGGGCTTGTGATACATGGGCTTGTGATACATGGGTTGGTGATACATGGGCTGGTGATACATGGGCTAGTGGTACATGGGCTGGTGGTACATGGGCTGGTGATACATGGGCTGGTGATACATGGGCTGGTGGTACATGGGCTGGTGGTACATGGGCTGGTGATACAGGGGCTGGTGATACATGGGCTGGTGATACATGGGCTGGTGATACATGGGCTGGTGATACATGGGCTGGTGGTACATGGGCTGGTGGTACATGGGCTGGTGGTACACTGGTTGGTGATACATGGGCTGGTGATACATGGGCTGGTGATACATGGGCTGGTTATACATGGGCTGGTGGTACATGGGCTGGTGATACAGGGGCTGGTGATACATGGGCTGGTTATACATGGGCTGGTGGTACATGGGCTGGTGGTACATGGGCTGGTGATACATGGGCTGGTGGTACATGGGCTGGTGGTACATGGGCTGGTGGTACATGGGCTAGTGGTACATGGGCTGGTGATACATGGGCTGGTGATACATGGGCTGGTGATACATGGCCTGGTGGTACATGGGTTGGTGGTACATGGGCTGGTGATACATTGTCTGGTGGTACACAAGCCGTTTCCAAGCTGCAAAGCTTTTCAACATTTCCTGTATCACCTCAACGTTCATGGCCTTTCTCTCGCACTCTGTGGTTTCGAAGAATCACTAGCACTCACTGTACACTTTGCACTCACCTCTGAAGTGGGTTGTTAGAGTATAAACAGTGGTATATGTACCGGGGCCGTGAACGAAGCGGGCGACGGGAATGTAAACAAAAGCGACCACAACACGTGGCTATGTTTACGTCGCTTAAACTCCGGCGCCGCGGTTCCTCTCATTATAATTTTACATTTTCTTTTTTTTTAGGTGTTTTAGAATTTGATTATTGATATAAATTTCAAAGATTTATATTTTAAATAAAGGCATGAATCAGATTTAATTATTGTAGATCTGCACGTGGTCGTTTAAATTCGTGACCAGGATTCGAACCCATGACGTCCAGGATCACATCTAAACGTACACGATACCTTGACCACCGCACTATTGCTCGTTTATAAAAGGATTGGTCAATCTTGGTGCTTATTAACTAAGCTCCACTATTGCTCGTTTATAAAAGGATTGGTCAATCTTGGTGCTTATTAACTAAGCTCCGCGACTGACCAACCCCCGGCGACACTCGTGGATCCATTTGGTTACAGTTTTTGATGTAGACTTAGCGCCTGTAATATTCTTGTAATATTACAGTACCGACTTGTAATATTCGTCCTTCTGAAGATGTATTGGTTAATACGAAAGTACTTAAGGAATATCCTGTCTCGTAAATTATATTATGAAGACGGAGTCACAATAACGTGGCTGAAATATGTTGACCAAACCACACACTAGAAAGTGAAGGGACGACGACGTTTCGGTCCGTCCTGGACCATTCACAATCGACGTGAGAATGGTCCAGGACGGACCGAAACGTCGCCGTCCCTTCACTTTCTAGTGTGTGGTCTGGTTATCAATATATTATGAATAACGTTTCATTCACTTGGACAAATGGAGCCTCGAACCCGGAACCACGAAATCGGAACTCCGTAGCCCTATCAACAGACACCTACCTGCTATCCAACTGAGACTACAATCCACTACAATATTGAGGAATTATATTCTGCCTCCCGCACTTTTCTCTACAGTAGACCTTTAAGTGAGCTTTAAGTGAACCGGTCTTTCTCACACACACACACACCGGCAAGTCCACCCATCTTACGACCCCACTTCATTTTCTCCAAGACTGAAAATCAATTGAATAGACTCTCCTTACCAGTCCGTCATCATCCACTCGTTCCACATGCCAAGAACCATCTTGGGATGCGCTCTTCAATCTTGCTTCAATTGACTTTTCCACTCCACATCTCTCTCTATTACATTTTTAGTCCTTATTCTAGCTAATCATCTAATATCACTAATTCTTCTCAAACTCTTCGTTTTCCCTGTTCTAATTGCTCATTTGTCTCGTTTAATCCATCTCATTGTATAGGAAGCATACTTAAGTATTGGCAGCACTAATTGGCTAGTTACTCTACTCCTAACTACTAAGCTAACTACAAACTAACTCATCACGACGGTTGGTTTTCATCCCTGATTGACTATCTTCTTGAGGTTATCTTGAGATGATTTCGGGGCTTTAGTGTCCCCGCGGCCCGGTCCTCGACCAGGCCTCCACCCCCAGGAAGCAGCCCGTGACAGCTGACTGACACCCAGGTACCTATTTTACTGCTAGGTAACAGGGGCATAGGGTGAAAGAAACTCTGCCCATTGTTTCTCGCCGGCGCGTGGGATCGAACCCAGGACCACAGGATCACAAGTCCAGCGTGCTGTCCGCTCGGCCGACCGGCTCCCTCGACTACTCACAACTCTAGTTGCATAGATCCCACTTTTTTGTACAAATGTTATTTCAGAAATGCAAACTTATCAGCCTCTTCAAACACCTCGTTCCTAATAATATTTTTCAATCTATGCTCTCAATTCCATTGTTTGGTAGTGGACTCATTAGTGAATAGCCTCATTACGGGTTATTCATGCCCGTGCCACCTCTAGGGTGACTTATTCTTCATCAATCAATTAATCAACCTCTCACTCCCAGGTTTCTCAATACATATCTCTGAGTTACACGTCCTAGAATATCATGGAACAACTTGTTCTTCACTGAACATTCTTTCAGTTAATTGCTGTTCACTTCTGATCATCCTGGCATAATCTTTGTCCACTATAATTACTGGGCTAATGGCACTGTAATCCGTAAACACACACACACACACACACACACACACACACACACACACACACACACACACACACACACACAAACTCTTCAGCACGGGTGGGACACGAACAAGGGGACACAGGTGGAAACTTAGTACCCAGATGAGCCACAGAGACGTTAGAAAGAATTTTTTCAGTGTCAGAGTAGTTAATAAATGGAACGCACTAGGAAGTGATGTGGTGGAGGCTGACTCCATACACAGTTTCAAATGTAGGTATGATAGAGCCCAGTAGGCTCAGGAATCTGTACACCAGTTGATTGACAGTTGAGAGGCGGGACCAAAGAGCCAAAGCTCAACCCTCGCAAGCACAATTAGGTGAGTACAATTAGGTGAGTACACACACACACACACACACACACACACACACACACACAACCTTGGTAGACGGTTGGAACAAGTTAGGTGAGAAGGTGGTGGAGGCCAAGACCGTCAGTAGTTTCAAAGCGTTATATGACAAAGAGTGCTGGGAAGACGGGACACCACGAGCGTAGCTCTCATCCTGTAACTACACTTAGGTAATTACACCTGAGATATTAGAAAGAACTTTTTTAGTTTCAGAGTGGTTGACAAATGGAATGCATTAGGAAGTGATGTGGTGGAGGCTGACTCCATACACAGTTTCAAGTGTAGATATGATAAAGCCCAATAGGCTCAGGAACCTGTACAGTTTTTCAACCCTCTGGTACATTACCACTCTTCCACAGACACATTATGTCATTCGGTTTTACACTCTACTAACTTCATTAAAAACAATTCATGTGAGTAACACAAATGCGAACAAGCTTGAATGGTCCCCAAGCCAATATGCAACCGAAAACTCCTCTTCACCCTTGAAGGATTCGAACCCAGCCAGACAGGGCTCCATGCACCTTAGCATACCCAGTACCTAACCCATTAAACCACACTGACTTCCAATCCTTTTGTAGAGTCAGTGTGGTATAGATAGGTCCATTTAAAGATACACACAGAGGTCCAGAGAGAGAGACACACACACACAATCCTCCTCACTCGTGAGGAGTGCCCAATCACACAGTGCCAGTGCCTCGTGTGTGTGCTTAGGCACCTAATCATCACCTTGATTGTGACCAAACAAGGTCTGCCCTAAACCAACATCGTCCAGGGCTATAATTAATGTCCCTGGCTACTATCATTGGCTTCCGGCAGACATTGATACGATGCGATTATTGTCAATATTATGAGGTCTTTCTGCAACCAAAGTGGATTCAGTTGAAAGTTGACGACACGGCCTAATAGACAACTTATGAGTGGAAGATGAGTAGCTTCAGTTGAATAAGTGAATAGTTGACATTATCTTTATTTAAATTTCTTAGACATATTCCATTGCGTATTCCATTATTGGGTAGGTCCACTATCTTGGGGTTATCTTGAGGTTATCTTGAGGTTATCTTGAGGTTATCTTGAGGTTATCTTGAGGTTATCTTGAGGTTATCTTGAGGTTGTCTTGAGGTTATCTTGAGGTTGTCTTGAGGTTATCTTGAGGTTATCTTGAGGTTATCTTGAGGTTACCTTGAGGTTATCTTGGGGTTATCTTGAGGTTATCTTGAGGTTATCTTGAGGTTATCTTGAGGTTATCATGAGGTTATCATGAGGTTATCTTGAGGTTATCATGAGGTTATCATGAGGTTATCTTGAGGTTATCTTGAGATGATTTCGGGGCTTTAGTGTCCCCGCGGCCCGGTCCTCGACCAGGCCTCCACCCCCAGGAAGCAGCCCGTGACAGCTGACTAACACCCAGGTACCTATTTTACTGCTAGGTAACAGGGGCATAGGATGAAAGAAACTCTGCCCATTGTTTCTCGCCGGCGCCTGGGATCGAACCCAGGACCACAGGATCACAAGTCCCGCGTGCTGTCCTTCTCGGCCGACCGGCTCTCTTCCTACTGCTACGAGTAGTTCATATTCACGTTGAAATACGTTTGAACTTTAGAACAGATATATAATGTTGGTGAACAGCCAAGAGTAAGAGAGAATATTTTTTCCCCACAGTGGAACACATTTCAAAGAGAATTCTGCGATTCGTTATCCAGCCACTTTAATACTTTTGTAAGTTGTGATTTAAGTGGTCCTGAGCTAAGTGCCGAGCGCCCCTGTGGATGTTAAAAGTGTTAATTAAGGTCATTAACACTCTTGCAAGAGGGATGAGACTTTTGGACATCGTAAAACTAAATTATTTTGCTCAGGATTGAATCTCATTGCAAGATTTATCCTGGCATGGCACTGTATTTTATACAATACATGCAAAGAAACGCTTTTCCTGTTAATAAATATGTAGATATATATGTTATCTTTTGTCCGGTTGTGATGGTCGAGTGGTTAAGATGCCCTGTACACCAGTTGCATAATGCTCCTGGCAGTATGGGTTCGAGTCACTTCTGGGGTGTGAGTTTTCAGATGTATATAATGTATTTCCTGGACTCATACTCACATACCTGTTATAATCGGCTTAAAACAAATGAATAAGTGTATTTACACCCGTGAGAATACACCCAAGAGGGTGTGTAGTACACCTGAAAGAGGGAATGTAAGATTCGAAGTGAAATGAGTCATTGCATTGAAATATTGATGGCCGTAAGCCGGAGCTTAGGAACTAAGGTTCAACCCTGCACGTACAAGTGTCTACAC